ACATATAAATTGACTCCTCATCTACGAAAGCTGTCATGCTGAATTTCAGTTCAGCTGGTCCTCATTGCTTTTACAACTCTCTGAGGAATTTAGAAAATATTTTTGGTCTTTTATCTCTCTTATTGTAGTTGTTGCAGAAGGATGTCTTCCCTTCTTGTGAACTTGCTATATTCTGCTCAAAAATTGAAGTTCTTGGGCAGGCACTGTTCCTCATGCCTGTAATCCCAGCACAGGGATTGAGAGGACAAGGTTGAAGAATCACATGAGCCCAGGAGTTCAAGCATTCCAGCTTGGGTGACAGAACAAGAGCCTTTCTCAGAAAAAAAAAAAAAAAAAAAAAAAAAAGGAAGAAGAAGAAGTGGTCATGATTCTAGTTACCCCAAAGCTCCTTTTAACAATTTAGATATACAATGTAGTATCTACGTTGTTGGTTTTTAAAAATTCCCTAACGACTGATATTGCTGAACACAAATTAGGAAGAGGTTAAACAAGGAAAATTACTGCAAAACAATGAAAGAGAATATGTCTTTATTTGCATGCCAGCAAATGAGAATTCAGCTTTCACTTCAACATCAATATAAAAAATTTCATCTTATAGCCGTGACATAGTGTTTGAATAGAAGTTAATTTGAGCTGTTTCAGAAATTACCATGTTTTCCATAAAGACAGCATTGAATTCATTCATTAGCATGCCCTGGTACTTTCCTGTTTGGCATTGGTCAGAGAATTTAAAAATAACAAGAGTGTTACTGCACATTCAGAAAACAGGTGCACATAAAATTTAAGGTCAGGACCTTAAAGAGAGTCTTGTCCAGTGATATTAGGCCTGCCTTAAAAAAAAAAATTCAGACATTGCATGTTTAACTACCAATCATGTTTTCCATACTAGTAATGGTAGAATTTGTATTTCCCATGGACAGCTATATTAAACTTATAGATTATTTTAATATTTTAATATTTTTTCTCTGTGTCCTTTTAGGACTTGTTAAACAATCCTGAAATTTCCCCTACAATATGCCATTAACCAGTCATATTTTCTCAAAGTCATTTGGCATAATGATTGATTAAAAGAAATATCTTTAGTATAATTACACTTGCTTATAACAAAAAATTATTTGAAACTTCAAGAAAAAAAGCAGAAAAATCAATAATAAAATATAAACAAATATATGAAACACATAATTAATCCTTACTAAATGTACATGAAATCATAGTCATAGAATTAAAAGTTTGATGTAATTTTTGAACTAAAGATACATTCTGAATTAGAACAAGGTTTGTAAAATGTTAAGTTTAACAATATTTTATTCTATTTATTTTTTGAGACAGTCTTGCTTTGTCCCGAGGTTGGAGTGCAATGGTGTGATCTCCGCTCACTACAACCTCCACCTCCAGGTTCAAGTGATTCTCCTGCCTCAGCCTTCTGAGTAGCTGGGATTACAGATGTGCGTCACCATGCCTGGCTAATTTTTGTATTTTTAGTAGAGATGGTTTTTCACCATGTTGGCCAGGGTGGTCTTGAACTTTTTACCTGAGGTTATCCACCCACCTTGGCCTCCCAAAGTGCAGGGATTACAAGTGTGAGCCACCGCGTCCAGCCAAGTTTAATTATATTTTATATAAATGTGAAAGTGCGAGAATTATTCAATGAATTTTGGAAAGCATATGAAGTAGTGGGAATTTTCAAACACTGCTCCTAGGATTAAAAATCAGTACAATGACTTTGAATGACATTATTTGATTAAGATGAAGGATCACATCCCGAGACCCAGGATTTGCACTCATATCAGAATACATATACAGTACAGTATATGTATTCTGTACATATCACCAAGTTTTAAAAGCTGAAGTTTAGAAATCTCCCAAATAACCATCAGTAATAAAATGGACGAATAAATTAGGGTACACTTATAGAATGCTATACAGCAATCAAAATGAACGAACTAGAGAAACATGTTTACAATGAATTACATGTTTACAAAAAGGAAAATGGAAAAATTTGATTTACATAGATAGCAATATATACAGATATAGGAGTAATTATTAACATCAAACAACATTCAGTATAATCGCATTAATATAAAATTTGCAGAAATTATTTCAAGTTCTTACAATTCTTATAATTTGAAATGCATTTTTATAATTTATTACATTGATGGCAAAACTGTAAAGTGAAACATATAAGTGATTATCATAACAACTGAGATACTGGGGAGGAAACAAAAGGGAAATGATATCAACAGGAAAGAATATATGAGGAGTGTCTGGATTGCTGGCAAATTCTATTTTTTGATGAAGCTGTGGAATATGAATGTTAATGTGATTTTTTTTCCTCTTACTGTGCATTTAGGTTTTATTGCTTTCTCTGTATATGTTATGTTCCACAATAATGAAAATATTTTAAATGTTAAGAAATGTTAAGTAAATGAATGAATATAAAATTAGACTGAAACAATATATTCTTACACGTACCATTGTAGTTAGAGTTTTGCTGCATAAAGAAGAATACAGCATTATGGTAGTAAGAAATAAGGATAAAATCTTACACTAAAAAATTAATTTAAAAAAGAAAGATATAAGCAGGAAGTGTACATCCACATCCTTAATGCTAATCTTAATTTGAAATATCAAATTTTGAACAACTACATTGCAATAGACTTTTTCTTGTTTCTGATTTAATTATTCATGATTTACATTTTAAATAGGCAGAAATTGGGGAATTTTTAATAAAGTCACAGATATTAAGGTATATAGGACTATAGATATTAAGTATATAGGATAATTTTTGCTACATTTATCCCTAAATGAAATAATTATATTGTTACCAAAGATTACAGTACTATGCATGCACAAGGCATTTGTGTTGGGGAAAATATTTTGTTACTATAAATTTTTTGACTATTAGAGAAGAAAACATAGAAAGATAACTTTATTAAGGCATAAAACATATTTAGTATAACCTTTGAGTGTGTTTGTGTGTATGTTGTGTTACTTTGACTGCTATAATAAAATAACCCAGATTTAGTGACAGTAGCTGAGATTGTAAATAAGCAGTTGAGAGAATCTTGCCTGCTAATGACACTATTAAAAGAGGAATACAGTTTATGTACTATGTAGTTCTATAGAGGATTTGTATAAGTTCATATGCAAGTGCAATGAAAATTCAACAGCCAAAAGGAGAATAATACTCTTTGTTGTTGGGCACTTTTGTCATAATTTTCAGAATGTGGTAAAAAAAAAAATAGCCAGCAAATCATTGAAAATATGTTGGTTTTAACTTATTCTTAATGAAATACTGTCTGAGGATGTTTGTCTTTGCCTGATGCTGAGAATAATATAAGAAACATAAGTTCCTGAGTGCATCACCCTGAACTGTAGCACTTAAAAAAACATGATTGAAGTCGCATTCATAGAACAGTATGGCCCCTTTTAGCTGAAATCATGATCATCATCAATCATCATCTACATCTATCTCATTAAATAATTTATTTTTGAAATGTTTACATACATAGTTTGGATAATGTCTAATAAATTTTTAAAAGACTATCATTGTGGGAAAGTCACATTAGTAAACAGAAAATTTCAAGTTGAGCTGAAGACATTTAGATTTAGAAATTAAGTATGGTTTAGATTAAAATACATTGCTTAAGCAAATCATTATAGAAAACCTTAAACTAATGTTAGGAGCACTATAAGATTTAGTTGTGTTGTTAATAAAATTCTTTAATTAGAAAGCTAAATAAGCCATTTCATGATCAAGCTCTTATTTCTAAAGTGAAGATATTATTTTTTTAATGTTTTCACATTTTTATTGAAAAAGGATTAATAGTATAAGTTATGTTTATATTGCAAAGTTTATGGAAATTTGATATGTGTACATCTACTCCTTTTTACATTTTACATAAATATTTAAATAATTGATTTATAGCACTGCCTAATGCCAGGTAAAGCAAATACTAATCTCAGTTCAGAAGCTCACGTGTATAACAAATTTAACTTTCTGGAAATTTTAAAAACTCAGCTTGATTAGCCTAAGTTCTCCATTAACCTGATGGCATGAATTAAATCTTAGGCAACTCTGGGTTCTCCCACAAGCATGCTTTGCTTCAGAATTGTGCTGAAGCTTTGAGGAGGATGGGAGGAGGCAAGGAGGGTCCAGTCCTTTACCCATCTATCCTCTGGCGTTCTCCCATCCTGCCCCAGGTAATCAGCCCACGCAGGTTGCTGGCACACCTAAAGTGAGAATTTCATTACTAAATAAATAAAATAGAAGTAAGCCCTCACATCTTCTATATCTCACCTGATAATGAAGAAATTTGAAAGCACAGAGCCCTATTTCTGCTATTAAAACAGTAAAAATTAATTTATGAAATAGAATGGTTTAGCTAGGACTGAGGTGCTATAATTTATTTATTGGAATGACATTTTGAGATTCAGCACAGCTCATGGAATTTCTCTGTGGGGAGAGTGTGTGGTAAAGATTCATTAACAGACAAGCTGCTATCCAAAAAAAAAAGCCACTCACATCACATCGATTTCCAGGTTCTTCTAACTTGCAGGAGAATATGTAGAGAAAGCTTGTATCTTTTTGTGACCAAAGCCTTGGGAAAAGAAGAAAATTGTTACCATTTTTATGTCGTACATACTACAAAAAACAAAACAAAACAAAAAAACACCAACCAACCAACCAACCAACCAACCAAAGAACCCCATTTTCTTTAAAAACTTGGTGGTAAGAGCACTTTGTTCTGTTTCTCCATAGAAAGTGATTTGTAGAAGAAGAACAAAAGATTATTTCTACTACTAAAACAATAAGAGGAAAAAAATGAATAATCAATATTGGGAATCCAATAAACAGAGTTAACAACCAGTTAGATATAGGAGAAGAAAGAACTAGTGAATTGGAAGACAACTACAAAGAATGAAGCCTATTGAGACCACAAGATGGAAAATACAAGGCTAAGAGGATAAGAGGCATTGATGCTACAATCAGAGCATCTGACATACTTCTGGATTTCTGGAAGATAAAAAGGGATAAAATAGGGCAGAAGCGATGTTATGGAGATTTTCCAAAAGTGATAAACTCTATCAGTCCATATATTTTTCATAACCATCAAAGGTTAGACAAGATAACTAAAAACAAATTAACATAAAATGACACAGGATATAAAAGACCAATAGAAAATCCGAAAAGTAGCCAGAGAAAAAGACAGGTTATTTTAAAAGGAACACCTTTCTAAATAACAACCTGATTTTCAACAGAAAATGGAAGGTAGAATTTAAAGAAATCATGTTTTCAGTGTGTTTCAAAAAAATAGAGGACCTTCATAAACAGAAATCCAAATGATGTTTGTCAGATAGAGTAAAAATTATTGAAAATACAAAGTTAAACATGCAAGAAGAAAGAAAAATTAACAAATTATAAATATGTGCATAATTCTAAATGAATGTTGACTGAATAAAATAATAGCATCTTATTGAGTTAAACATATAATTGATAAGATACATGCAAATAGTACCAAAGAGACTGGAGGTAAAGGTGACAGGAATACATTTAGTTAAATTATTTTTTGCACTTTTCTACATCTGTGAGGATCTGTGAGGATAATTTTACATCATATTTAATGACCCTATGATAGGAATTGCATCAAATGATATATGAAATAATGCTCATAGCAGAGTTATTCGTAATAGTTCAGAAATAGACTGGCTGAATATATATTAACTAAGGATGATGGAATTATATGAATGATCGCACCAAATTCATACAGCAGAACAACATAGGTGAAAAAAATGAATCACATGTACATGCAATTATATAACTAAATTTCAGAAACATGATATCAAGTGCAAGAAGCCATGAACAAGAACAAACAGAATTGCACCTATACACAATTCAAAGCAGGACACACTAAGCTATGGAGTTTAGGGTTGCAAACCTAGTTGGTAAAGTATAAAGAAAAATCAAGAAAATGATCATCATGAATTACCAATATTATTTATCTCAGGAGATGTGAAGAAAGGTTTAAGGGCTTGGAAAGTGGAATGGAGGGGGACCTAGACTGTTGGCAGTGTTCCGTGTCTTACCTTGCATGATGGTTACACACGTGTTTGTGATACATTGCTCTTTCCTATTTTTGTTTCGGCCATTTCTAAGTGTGCATTATAATTTTGTTTAAAAAATTACAAATTAGGAGAATTGTTATGTAAAAATTATTAATTTCTCTGCTCATTATATACCTAGGGGAAAAATCCACCATTTACTACATACATTCTTATACAGCTCAGGAGAGTTAAAGTGGATTCTTATTTTAGTTGTGAAATGTAGAAATTTGAGATACTGTTACCTACAGCCCCCAGATCTTTCCAAAAGTTTTCTTCTAGTCTTAAATATTCACCTCATATTACAAAAACGTGACATTTCTGATCTGTTTTTCCTTTGGTTCCTGAATTTCTGACACAACAAGTGTGCACATATTTCTCACATTCTTGGTTTAGAAGAGTACCTGTATCAGTTTTTCTGCAAAAGAAACTTCTCGAAAACCATATTAGGTATTTATATCTCACATGTTTTTGGATTCTGTTTTCTTAAGCTATGGTTTGGTGGCTGGCTCTGGTGATTTGAGATGGTCCAAGTTTTGCATCTTGGATCTAGTTAGAGTTTGACCTATATAAGGCTGGATCAGGCAGGGGCGATGTGACTCCATTAGTTACTCTTTGCTTTTCATTGCAAAGCAATGAAAGATGATATGTCTTTATTTGCATGCTAGCCAATGAAAATTCAGCTTTCCCTTCAACATCAGTATGAAAAATTTCAGCCTATAGCAAGAACAGAGGCTCTATGAATAAGAATTAATTTGAGCTGTTTTGGGACTAACAATATTTTCCATAAAGGCAGCATTGAACTCGTCCATTGGTTTAAGCTGGTACTTTTCTGTTGACATTGTTCACAGAATTTAAAAGAATAAAGAATGTTATTGAACATTCAGGAATCAAGTGCATATTGAATTTAAGGCCTGGATATCAGAGGAGTCACCACCGGTGTTATTAGGCCTGAATTTTTTTCTTGCTTTTTTGTTTAGACATGATGAATTTTCTCCTCATTGTTTTTTCCATTCTAGTAGTGGTTGCATTTGTTCTTGGAAATTTTGCCAATGGCTTCATAGCACTAGTAAATTTCATTGCCTGGGTCAAGAGACAAAAGATCTCCCCAGCTGATCAAATTCTTGCTGCCCTGGCAGTCTTCAGGGTTGGTTTGCTCTGGGTAATATTATTAAATTGGTATTCAACTGTTTTCAATCCAACTTCACCTAGTTTAAAAGTAAGAATTTTTATTTCTAATGCCTGGGCAGTAACCAACCATTTCAGTGTCTGGCTTGCTACTAGCCTCAGCATATTTTATTTGCTCAAGATTGCCAATTTTTCCAGACTTATTTTTTATCACTTAAAAAGGAAGGCTAAAAGTGTAGTTCTGGTGATAGGGTTGGGAGCTTTGTTATTTTTGATTTGTCATCTTGTGATGAAAAACATGGATATAAATGTGTGGACAAAAGAATATGAAGGAAATGTAACTTGGAAGATCAAATTGAGTAATGTAATGCACCTTTCCAACTTGACTGCAGCCACGCTTGCAAACGTGATACCCTTCACTCTGACCCTGATATCTTTTCTGCTGCTAATCTGTTCTCTGTGTAAACATCTCAAGAAGATGCAGCTCCATGACAAAGGATCTCAAGATCCCAGCACCAAGGTCCACATAAAAGCTCTGCAAACTGTGATCTCCTTCCTCGTGTTAGTTGCCATTTACTTTCTGTGTCTAATCACATCATTTTGGAAATCTAATATGCAACAGAAAGAACTTGTTATGCTTTGCCAAACTGTTGGAATCATATATCCATCATTCCACTCATTCATTCTGATTTGGGGGAGCAAGAAGCTAAAGCAGACCTTTCTTTCAGTTTTGTGGCAGGTGACTTGCTGGGCGAAAGAACAGAAACCATCAACTCCATAGATGTACAAGAGGTGCATTGTGTGTTTTCTAGCAGAAAACAAATTGATGGTATCTGGAACATTTTATATTTCCTACAAGTTTTTCTATAGTCTGTGTATTTGAGTAATTTCCAAAAGTAGACTTAGAAAAGTCTTTTACCTAAATTTATTATATAAATGTGTGTGTGTGTGTGTGTGTGTGTGTGTATGTGTGTATGTATGTCTGGACGTGTATGAAAACTTAACATTGACCATAACATACCTTTAGTCAATTTTTTAAATAAACTTCTCAGTTATACAAAAGTAGAATTATGAACCCATGTGTATTTCACACATATATTTTATTTTATGATATTTCATTTGAGAAATTTATGATCTCTATAATTAGAAACTGACAGCTTATATCAGAAAATCATTGCTATTTTTCATTGTAATTTGGATCATGTATATGTATCATAGTGTCTTTAACTATCATTGTTTGAACCGCTAATATTTTGGATGGTAAGGACATTCAGTACTAAATCAATGATGAGAATGTGTCTTTGTGGTAGGTTTTTTTTTTCATGAATTCTTTTTTTCCCCTTTTTTTTGAGATGGAGTCTTGCTCTGTTGTCCAGGCTGGAGTGCAATGGCTTGATCTTGGCTCATTGTAACCTTTACCTCCTGTGTACAAGCGATTCTCATGCCTCAGCCTCCTGAGTAGCTGGGACTCCAGGCATGCGCCAGCATGCCCAGCTAATTTTTTGTTTTTTTTTTGCTTTTTTTTTTTAGTAGAGATGGGTTTCACCATGTTAGCCAGGTTGGTCTCTAACTCCTGACCTCCAGTGATCCACTGCCTCAGCCTCCCAAAGTGCTGGAATTATAGGCATTCATCATGAATTCTTATTTTATGTTTAATATAAAGCAGATACAATTATTGTTAGATAACGATTCACAAAATAAAATTCAACGGTGAAAAATAAATTTAGTGTACATTTTGTTTATGTGTATCAACAGCAGTACTGAGGAATATTAGATTTAATACAGTATGTGAATAGCTTAGAAAAATCATTTATATAAAAAGGATGAAGAAACACGATTACGAGCTCTTTTCAGTGCTGTTTTAAGTTTCCACATGCTACTACAAAAGTTATTTTTTCCAGTTTTTGAATTAAACAAAAACTTTTTTGAGGTTGAGATTTGATGTTAAATATTTTAGTTTTTTGCCTAAGCCACCTCTGAGCTCCTGAATTGACGATTTCCTCCTTTATCTTCCATCCTTAAAATTCCTCAAAAAGCTCAAATTTTCCTTATCTTAAAAAAAGGTCAATCTAAAGAGGGCATAGACACTATGGTATCTATGAAATCTATATGTGGATGATAGGAAATGTCTTAAAGATATGTTTTATTATAATCCTGGTGTAAATGATGAAATGAGAGAAAGTGTGTTGGTATATTCACTAATAGCAAGTTCTATGATAAGAATAAAATGTATAACTTAGTTCAACAGCTAAATTCTGTGTGACTGTATCAATTTCTGGTGTTATGAAACTTTAACAATATTATCTAAATCTTAAGATAAATCATCTCCACATCTGATTTATCATATATCTTCTCTGGTACAATGTAAGCACCATAAAAGTGGAGATCATATAGATCTTTCTCACTGTAGACCCCCAGGACATAAAAACAGTGCATAGAGTAGGTATTCAAAATGACATTTTGATGAACATTAATTGGTGAAGGAATGAATACATGAACTATATTGGGGTGGTGAACCAATGAAAGTGAAACACATCACAAAATCTACAGTTGCAGAAATATTCCTGCTCTGGTTTCAGATTGAGGTTACAGGATTATCCAAGAATTTCTCAGAACAAAATTTGGCTATTCCACAATTCTAGGGGAAATATGACTATAATATAGCATTGATGCAGCTATATCAGATGTGTGACACAACACAAGGTGGAAAATAAAATTAGATGGTGTTTATTACAATACTTTTTACTAAGCACATAAAAGATTTGTATATATATGCATGTATCTTTTCTATCGTGAACAATATGTTTGTGATATTTCTAGCTGGTTACTATATAAACAAAAATGGCATTTCATTAAAAAATTTAGTTACCAACTATCTTACTAAAATGTGATTTTTATATATAATATTTTTAATATCCTTTATACATTATGATTTTAATCAACATATAAACTCATAGAAAAGTGAATGCATAATAACTATAACACTGAATATCTTAGACTCAGGAGTCTAGAACTAGATCCAATGTCTGATATTAAAGTGAGGACATTTATTTGGAACGTAAGTTTAGGGCAGCAATGGCCAGGACATGTGGAAATTGAGGCAAGAGAAGATGTGAAACCATGTGTTGTGATGTATGACATGACTTTGCTGATGACCACTTCGCAATGAGGTGAGAGAGACAGCATGCTGGTTATCAGATGTGTGTACTTGGCTCCCAGTACTTTTCCAGAAGGGCTGACAGGGGAAAACACAGCCAGCACTAGTCCATAGAAGAGAGAGAGGAGGGAGATTGTATCTATTCAGCTGTCTTCTGCCTTGTATTTCCCATTGGCCAGGGTTTTCCTGAGGCAGAACTACCATCTCTGCTGTTCTGCCTTCCATCATCCATTTCCTTGGTGGCTGTTATGAAAGTTAAACCTCATGCCCACAGTGTGGTGATCCATTCAAGTCCCAAATGGAAAGATGATCTGGATCAGGCAAAGTACTGACCAGGGGAATAGGAGACAGGTGAATCTGAGGAAGCACATGTTTGTGACCAATGCCATCCACTCCTTGTGCCACTCAGATTTGCTCAAGCCCTCCAATCATTGCTGGTTTTATGAGCGGATAATTTCTACTGTTGCACTGGGTCTTGTGCTTAGAGGCACATGGGCTTAGAAGGGCTTTATGCTTGGATTAATCTTCTGCTCCTGCTGTTTTGTTTTTCAGACAGAGGGCGCTCCTCTGCTGAAGAGGGAATGGTCTTGCACTAATTCCCTGGGGGTTTGCTTTCCCCTTTCCTATGGGCTGGTGAGAGACATGCGTAGAGTCCTGTAATGCTCACTATGCATGCCTCTAGCAGGATTGAATTCTGCTACTACGCATGCCTCTAGCAGGATTGAATTCTGCTGGATTATCTGGCATAATGAGCAGAGCAGCTTGGACCAGAACCTATATTTGCTAGAGGCATTTTTTGTTCTCATTCCACTTGAAACCAGTAGCCTTTGGAAACTTCATTGGTGATTCAGAGCAATATCCTCAAATGTGGAATATGTTGGCTCCCAAAACCCAGGAAGTCCAACAAATATTGTATCTAATTTTCAGTGATGAAAATAGATGTATAGTGAGCAACATGCTGTTTACTTTACAAAGGATGTTTCTTTTGTAAAGTGTCTGTTCATATCCTTTGCCCACTTTTGAATGGGTTTGTTTGTTTTTTTTCTTGTAAATCTGTTTTAGCTCTTTGTAAATTCTGGATATCAGCCCTTTGTCAGATGGGTAAACTGCAAAAATTTTTTCCCATTATGTTGGTTGCCGATTCACTCTAATGACTGTTTCTTTTGCCATGCAGAAGCTGTGGAGTTTGATTAGGTCCCATTTGTCTATTTTGGCTTTTGTTGCCAAGACATACATGAGGCCAACAAACATATGCAAAAATGCTCACCATCACTGGTCATTAGAGAAATGCAAATCAAAACCACATTCAGATACCATCTCACACCAGTTAGAATGGCGATCATTAAAAAATCTGGAGACAACAGATGCTGGAGAGGATGTGGAGAAATAGGAACACTTTTACACTGTTGGTGGGAGTGTGAATTAGTTCAACCATTGTGGAAGACAGTGTGACGATTCCTCAAGGACCTAGAAATAGAAATTCCATTTGACCCAGCAATCCCATTACTGAGTATATTTCCGAAGGATTATAAATTGTTCTGCTATAAGGACACATGCACACGAATGTTTACTACAGCACAGTTTACAATAGCAAAGACATGGAACCAACCCAAATGCCCATCGATGATAGACTGGACAGGAAAAATATGGCACATATACACCATGGAATATTATGCAGCCATCAAAAACGATGAGTTCGTGTCCTTTGTAGGGACATGGATGAATCTGGAAACCATCATTTTCAGCAAACTGACACAAGAACAGAAAATCAAATATCCATGTTCTCATTCATAGGCAGGTGTTGAACAGTAAGAACACATGGACACAGGGAGAGGAGCATCACACACTGGGGTCTGTCGGGGGGAAATAGGGGAGGGACAGTTGGGGGTCAGGAGTTGGGGAGCGATAGCATGGGGAAAAATGCCCGATATAGGTGATGGGGAGGAAGGCAGCAAATCACACTGCTATGTGTGTACCTATGCAACAATCTTGCATGTTCTTCACATGTACCCCAAAACCTAAAATGCAATAAAATAAATAAATAAATAAAAGGATGTTTCAGCATGTGTACTAGGAGCACTGAGTCCCTATAATTATCGCCTATGTTATAGGTCACTGAAACTTCTCGTTCATCTTTCTTCTTCTGATATTTTACTTCTGTTCAACATTATAGTACTTTACTATATTGAAGAAATTCACCACTTCTTGCTTGTAGGTACCAATTAATGCAATTTATTAATATATTGAGTTAGCATGATGTTTTGCAAAATGCCAGTTAAACTGAAAAAGAAGTGACATAGCCCTGACATAAAACAGTGAAGCAATACTTTGTTCTTACCACATCAAAACAAATTATTTTTATTTTCTCTCACAATGGGTGTAGATGAAAAAGCATTCACTAAATAAAAAGCCTCATGTAAGAGCCAGAAACCATGTTTTCTCAGTGAAGATATCACATCCTAGAAAGCATCTGCAAGTACAATTTAAGTTTCTGCTAATGTGCATTTATCCTATAATTCATCTGGTTTCGGCAGAGGCCAGATAGGTTAACTGAATAAGGAAAAGAAAGATGGACAACTACCCTCTGAAACTTTCTAGTATTTTTTTTTCTGTCGTTTCAGTGACCAATTCTATTCCTTGGAGACTGGGGTTATTATGTTTTACTCATTTTCTTGCCAGAAGAGAATTTCAGAGGACTCTTTTTACTACTACTTACAATAACGTCCCTTAATATACAGGGCTGGAAGCAGTGTGAGAGTTCTGCTAGCTGTTGAAACGGTTAATTTCAATTAACATTTAGGAAGAGATAGCAAATATAAACTCATTATATCAACCGTAGGATGAACATAAGCCAAAGCTTTATGCAGCATTTGACTTTCAAACGCACACTCCAGGACTAGTGAGGCAGCTCACACCTGTAATCCAAACAATTTGGGAGGCTGAGGTGGAAGGAGCACTTGAGGCCAGGAGTTCCAGATCAGCCTGGGCAAGATAGCAAGACCCCATTTGTTAAAGAAAATTAGCTGGTTGTGGTAGTGTGTGCCTGTAGTTCCAGCTACCTAGGAGCTTCTGGCAGGGGGATCACTTTAGCTCAAGAATTTGATGATTGTGCCATTGCATTCCAGCCTGGGCAACCAAACAAGGCTCTGTCTCTAAAAATAAACAAATGAAAAAAACAAACAAACTACCAGAAAACAAAGCCTTCCACTCCATTATGTG